CTGATTTTGCGAAAGTACCGCTCCTACCGCATAATCCGAAGCATCCGCTGAAATTTCTAAATTTTCATCCTTTTCAGGAAATTTCAACACGGGGGCTTGCGTTAATGCTTGTTTTAATTTTTCGAAAGCACTATTGGCTTCGGCCGTCCACGAGAATCTTGCCTTTTTCCTTTTTAATTTTAACAATGGCTCAGCGATAGCCGCAAAATCTTTTATAAAGGACCTATAATATGAACAAAGTCCTAGAAAAGAAGAGAGCTTCTTTGCCGTGTTTGGAGTCGGATACTTTTGTACAGCGATTATTTTTGATTTATCTGTCTCGATCCCTTTTTGAGATATTTTGTAACCTAAATATTTTAATTCAGGGGCTGCAAATTTGCACTTTTCGACATTAACTTTTAGACCGGCCTCATTTAATAAAGAAGAAAACACCTGTCTTAAATCCTGTACATGTTGGATCTAGATTATCACTAGTAATAATGATATCGTCTAAATAGATAAATGTGGACTTTCCAAGAACAGGTCTTAACACAATGTCCATGCATCGCTGAAATGTTGCCGGGGGGCGCCTGAAAGGCCAAACGGCATACGCAAAAATGCATAAGTGCCAGACTTGGTTATAAAAGCAGTCTTAGGCACGTCCTCAGGCCTCACCCCTATTTGAAAATAACCAGTCGTTAAGTCTAAAGTCGTCATAAATTTGGTTGATTTTATGTTCCTTAAAATTTCTTCTATGATCGGTAACGGATATACCGGATATTTCGTTATGGAATTTAATTTACGGTAATCAATAGCGAATCTCCACCTTTTTTGGATGCTCCAAAGGATAGTCATTATTTTTCTTACATAAAACCACCGGGCTAGCATAACTACTTGAGATGGGCGTTATGATCTTTTTACGTAGCATATCGGTGATATGCCATTCTATAATTTTTTCCTTATTCTTATCATACCGATATGCTTTGTGGCGAACTGGCATTGAATCTCCGGTGTCAATACTATGGTTAGTAACCTGAGTAAATCCTGGAATATCACTAAATAACGAAGCAAATTCACTTACCACTTGTCGGATTCTATCTTGCTCGTCATTAGGCAGGTGGTCAAGATTTAACCTTGGCGGTTCACCTTTTTCTACACGCACTGGGTTTCATTGTCAGCTTAAGGACGCTTCATTAAAATCCAGTGTAGCTTGTGCGTCTGAAAAAAAAGTCTATTCCTAAGATTAAATGTGCTTGCAGATTCTTTACTATAAAAAACATCACCTTTACTTGTTCGTCCTTGATACGGATATACAAAGGTACTTTACCTACGCACTTACATTTTTCTCCTTGCGCCGCTAACACTGTTGTATTATCCACATTATATATGCGGTATTTGCGAAAATACTTTCTAAAAAAAACTCCTCTGCCACACAGGAAGGAACACTGCGCGCCGGTATCCAGGAGTGCGGTGGCTGGGATATTTATTCACCAAGACTTCAATCTTCGGAAGAGTCAAATTTTTCACCATTACTGTATTTAACTTGTAGGAAGAGAGATTTTCGTGGCCTTCGGATTTCCGCACCCTCTCGTCAGCAGAAATCCGTTTTAGTTTTAAATTATTTTTCCTTTCCGTGCTTTCCTTCTTTTCCCCCTGGCCTTGAGACTTTTTTCCTGGGTTGCTATTGAACTGTCGACGTTCGCCGGCTGTTTTGAATGAATGCTCGGGTTTCCTTGCCCACTGATTCGCTTTTCTCCGTAGCCGTATGCTTGAGTTTTGCTGTAGTCTTGGCGTACCAAATTGGTTTCGCTGTTGATATTGGCGTCTTCTTTCGACGTCCGCCGTTCTTCTACTTTCAAACTGGATTGCTAGCTCAAATAACTTTTCCAGTGTAGTCGGATTTCTTAATTCAATAAAGTCTTGCACTTGGGGCAGTAACCTGGCAAAATCACTTGAATTATTTCAGGATCCGGACGGTTTCCATACAAGAGCTTGAAAACGTGAATTTTTCTTAAATAAAGCTCGAGAGGTTTTCGATTCTTTGTTGATATATACTGAAAAGTTCCGTTTCTAATTTCGCACGATCCCTTACAACAGGGAAGGCTTTTAGTAGGGCAGTCTTGAAATTTTCGTAAGTATAGGTGTGGGACTTCCTGCTTGAGACTTCTGCCTATACATTTGAAAAGTTTAAAAAGCGCTGGTAGCTAAGGTAACTTTTTAAACTCGTGCAGGGTAATTCACGGTAGACATTTAAGTGTCATCCATTTTTCCAAAACTGGTTACCGGTGAGTTTTGTTAAAAAATTGCTTTGGTTTCATCGGCGCGCAAGTCTTCTGGCGTGCATCCTTCCAGGCAGGCAGTTCTTTTTCAAAAAAGCCTGAGTTTTTTCTGCAGGCAGCTGGCATGGTCTGGCCGTTCTTGCAGGCAAAGTTCTTCTTCGGCCCATGGTTATTCTCTTCGTTGGGTGCCACTATCAGGTTCAATGTTCCTTCTAACCTTCTTTGGGAACATACAAGGACCTGACTAGGAACAGAGAGCTTACTAAAGCTATGTTCACTAATTGTAGTAAGTAGACAGGATACAGACGAAGGGTATACAAAACCCTTTATTTTTCTCTATATACAATGACTTCCGTACTTCGGAATACAATGACCCGCCACTCGGGGTCTAACGTAAAGTATAAAAATAAAACTAAACTCTAATTTAACTTTAGAATAATACACGTGGAAGATTGGCCTTATAATAACAGGAAGCGTATGTAGCACAGAGACTGTGAACACTACAATACGTTTAATTTATCAAGAGGATTAAAACCTCTGGCCTGGAAGGCAAATAGCAACTGCGTAACTTCTAAGTTAAGTGGCCTGCTTCGAACTCACTGCTTCCTCTCTTTCGCTTGGCAAAAAGGCCACACTTAAATACTTGGCGTTCGCCAGACAAACTTTGCATAAAAACCTTCACGCTTATAATTCTGGCCGGAAGTAGAAAATAAGAAGTGATAGTAAAGATTTAAAATAAAATAAACGTTAGTAAAACTTAAGATCCTTACATGCTAACCACCCAGAGATGATTGATATCTTGAAACACGAAACCGAAGTTGGTGGCTTTGCTTTATTAGCAATCTTTACAAGTGTTATGACTGGCAGCCCAACTGACTAGAAATTTTTCTTGCTGATATTGGAGCATCGAAAGCTTTCTGCATATTCTGTGTATTATCAGCAGTCATGCTTTGAGCATTAACTGTATGCCTTTGGGTACTTTGATCCAAGTATGCTGATGTCCATTCAAATGCACCAAGCCACCAGTACTATTCAGACTCTCTTCTTCAATCAATCTTCTTTAAATCCTTTGTGCTGTGGCCACATATGGCTTATTTCAATTACATAATGGTAGAAGGACCAACCAGTTATTTAGGCCCACCAGCGGCTGAGCGGTAAAGACGCTGAACACTATTAGTTCGGTCCAAGGTTCAAATCCGGCAAACAGAATGGCTGCATCGGCGTTTTCGTGGTTTTCCCCATGTGTAGCATGCATATGAGCCAGTTTCCCTTAGAAAGTCCTCCACGAGGGCATCCCTCCCTTTAGGCAGATAGCCCTCGTGTGCTTTGCCAGAATTAAATAATCCAAATCCAACCAATCATTTCTAAGCCTAAAGTAAAACCCCTTTTGAAAAAATCTGGTAGCTGAAACTAACTTCTGTGGTTTCTGAAGGCAATAGCATGTGTCTTCAAGAATCCCTTGTGTAAAAAATCAGATTGCTGAAACTAACTTCGTCAATCATCTCTGTCTAAGGCATGAATCGTCAATCTTCTCTGTCTAAGGTATCAATAGTCTCTGGGTCGTTTAAAATTCCCCACACACAAAAAAAAAAAAAAAAAAAAAAAAAACCACCATTGGGTTATTAAAGTGGTTTTTGGCACGGCGGCATCATTGGGCCATCTTTCTTCAAAAATGAATAAGGAGCTGCCGTTACCCTGTTTTGCTAACCACCCAGAGATGATTGATGCCTTGAAACAGAAAATCATCAATGATATATCGCTTATGGATTCTAATTTCCTCCATAATTATTTGTGATTTAAAATATTGGCTCCAATAACATATTAATAGATTTAGTAGTACTTCTACTTGGTTAATAAAATGAAAATTTCTAATATGCAAATAATTTACAAAAATATTTTTAATTATTTCATTTTTATATTTATGGTTTTTAAGATAAATACAATTTAATTACATCTAACAGTTAATTGAAAATTAAGAAATGGTTATTTTAAAAAATATGCCTTATATACTTATTTTTACAATTGTAGAAAAAGTATTCTCACTTTGATTTACTGACAAGTTTTGCTGTAGGTTGGAGTTTATAAAGGTATTGGCTACACATTGACTACAGAGAAGTTTTGCTGTGGGTTGGAGTCTATAAAGATAGTGGCTGCAGCATTTCTATCACATTAGATGTGCAAATATATAAGTTGCCATTCGTGCGATTGTAGCCCAAAAAATCGAAAATGTACTGAAAAATTGGGTTGATTGTATGAGATACTGTTAAGCCAACCATGGCAGTCATTTGAATGATGTTGTGTTTCATTAAATGAAAATGTCAAATCTTTCTAATAAACTCATAACTTTGGAAAAATATTCATTAGTTTTTTTTTTTTTTTTTATAGCCGATTGAAATTCCAAAAGTTAGATGGCCCACCCTTTATCTGCAGGAATGTATTTAATTGCATATTCTTTTGAGATAAATATTGCTAGAAGAATGGGTTTGTGGTTCAGCTGACATCTTCCCTTTTATCTCACTAATTTATTATCACATTACAAACTTATGTTTTAGCTCATTTTTGTAAATCATTCAGCTGTGTATTCTGTGCAACTTGCATAACAGCACAACCTTATCTTCATTGTGTTGCATTTTCTCTGTCAAATAGTGTATTTTTTTTTTAAAAAAAAAAGTTATATATATGTTCTATAGCTTTAATATGTAATGCAATAATGAAATGATTTTTTTTTTTTTTTTTTTGTAGAGTAATACAAGTCAACATTCCAAATCTTATGCTCCGCCGGTAAGAGCGGAACAAGTCTCCACAAGGAGGAAAGAAATTGCTCCTCGTTTCCTGAGACAGTTAGAACAAAAGCTAATTGAAAATTCAACAAATTCAGCAAATGGTCCGAGTGCATTATTACGTACGCCTGCATTATTACCTACGCCTTCACAAACTGTTATTTCTTCTAATGATACAGCCGAAAGATCATCCTATTATAGAGTTGAAAGACCATCTTATCATACTACTGAAAGATCATCCAGTTATACTGCTGAAGGGCCATCCCATCATACTCTTGAAAGATCATCCCATCATACTCTTGAAAAATCATTCCATCATACTATTGAAAGACCATCTCATCATACTGTTGAAAGATTATCCCGTCCTATATCTTCAACCAGCATTAAAAAAACAGATGAACGACAAATGTTATTAAACTCTCTAGAAACTGCAGGTATATATTTTCCTTTTCGGTTTTATTCATTACAGTTAGGATGTTTAAGAATTATGCAATAAAAAAATTGGGTACTTACGTATTAATGCAACCAGGCCAAAATTCGCATAAATCACCAAATTTGGCGACCCTACTTACGACAACCCTACGTGTTATACGTAGTTTTGTAAAAAGAATTTATATGTAAAAAGAAAAAATAACACTGGGCGTGTACTACCACAGCAATGGGTTTTCGGCGGAATTTGCCGAGAAAAGAAAGAAAGAGACTTTTTTGGTTACTGTACCTAACAGAAGCGCCGTTACCCTCATGGAAAAATTTGCGAAAATATCAAGGAAGGAAGCATCATTTATTCGGATTGCTGGAAAGGATACAATACAAGTGAGTTCGAAAATGCTGGATTTCTGCATGGGAACTGAATCACAAATATAACTTTGTGGATCCCAACACGGGCGTTCACACACAACATGTAGAGCGCAGTGGGGCTCAGCCAAATGGCGCAAACAAAAACAGAGAGGAACAGCCTGTCATCATCTTGACTCATACCTTATTGAATTTATATGGCGCCAAGCTCAAGCTGTTAATGGCGAAGACGGTTTTCAATCATTGCTAAAAGCAATAGCCAAAAGATTTCCGCCGAAAAAATAATTCTGCAACTTGTTCAAATTCGAAACCGGAAGGGTGTAATTGCTATTTTATATTTTAAAACAAAATAATATAAAAAACTGTATTAAAAATTATCTGTAATTTATAAATGTACATTTTCTTTCTATTCATACTTTTTTACTCAGACTTACAAATCGCGCCAACCTGGTTGCAATAATACGTGAGTACCAAAAATTGTTTAAAGAATTTTTAAAAAATTCTTTGATAAGTAAGATCTAATTATTATGCTTCTTATATTAAGTAACAAAGTTTTATTGTTCATCTGCTGTAATCTAGTGGCATTGAAAGCTGATCAGTAAGTACATTAAAACTTTAATTATCTTAGTATATGTAATTGTGGTCAGGGTTGAGTTTTTTCCAGAAGAAAAATATTTCTTCCAGTCCGGTAGAAGAAATTGGGAAAAAAAAACTGCAAGAAACCAGAAGAAATGAGTAACGGTAAACACTTGAAAGTTGCTAAAGAGGAAAAATTCACTAATAGCTGTTTATCTTATTTGAAAATAAGTGTTTTATTATTTCTGCAATAAAATGCGAAGCAATTAAAGAATTTTCTTCAAAGAATCCAATCAAATGTGTGGTTGAATTTTTATTTATTTTTAATGTGATTTACTGTGACTTTCTCTCAAACATATTGGCCCATTAAAATTTTTTTTACTTTCCTCTCCTTCTTCCTTGGAGCATTCACATGTTTCAAACTTTCTGTTTTCATTCATAGTAGCATTTGGAATTTGTGGTAGTTAGCAAGTAGCGTGCTTGAAATGGAAAAATACAGCGGCTTTTAAACTGAAAGTTGTAGAAATTGTGCAGGAAAATGGAAAAAGAATAGCAGCAAGAGTGTATGAGGTGGACGAAAAGTGTGTGCGCAATTGGAGCAAACAGCATGATCAACTGGTGTCAACTTACAAAATGAGACGTGCATTTCGTGGTTCGAAATTTACGTTTCCGAACTTAGCAAAGAAAGTTCTGTATGTTTGTGATACGCGTGCTCAAGGGTATGCATTAACACGGGAAATGTGCCAAATAAGAGCATTTGCTTCAACATGCGAAAAAGACATTCCTACATCGCATTTCAAGGCAAATGAAGGTTGTTTCCTACGAATGATGAGACGAAATGGATTTTCATACAGTGCATTGGAACAAATTTTTTAAAAAAATGTGTGCAAGATATTAAAAGAGCCAATGTTTATTTAATTTGTGTAAAAGTAAATATTAAAATTGCAAGTTTTGGTTAATTTGCGCTTCTATATTATGCACCTCTGCAGACTAATACGTGCCGAGTGTTGATAACTTAAATATGGAGTAATTTATATTATATATGTGGATGGGAGAAACTGAGTTTGTAAATTTTAGGTAGTTATTAGACAACTTTAAATTTAGTACTTTTATTACTTGTTCTATTTTTTTCCACTTAACTTATCTGTTTGAAATGAAATTTACACCCAAAATTACTCATGAGAAAAAGCACAACATTTAAACGACCCGTGGTTAAATAAATAAAAAAGTATGGACATTACATGAGCGTATACAGTAATATATTATTGTTAACCCTTTTACGATGGCGCACCTTTGTTTAAGATTCTCGTGGGACAGAAGGGAATCAAAGGCAGTCACCGCACAGGATGAGGGTTTTGCATCGCTAAGCCTAATTTTATAAAAAACAAATCGGAGGGAAAAATGTTTCACTTCTAGCATCGTAATTCTTTTGTATCATTTTAGATTATTACCTTAGCTCTTATATATGTTAAAATTAGCATTTAATAATCTTTTTTTCTTTATTTTACATGAAAAATATTAAAAAAATTGCTTATCTTTTAAAATATTTTTCGGAAGCGCTATTCAAGTTATTCCAAAGTTTTAATTGATAAAATCCCTCAATAAAGTTTAAAATTAATAAAACACAATAAAGACTATTTAGAAAAGTATCACTTTCTAACTCTTTAGAAATAAATCATCACTCTCATCTGTGTTAGTAAATGGTTCATTAACCATACAAGTGTATTCTTCCTCTGCAAAATAGTGCTTTCATGCCATAATAGACAGGAGGTGAGGCTTTCTGAAATAAAAAGAGAACCCGAAATATGTCTGAAGGCAATGCAAAACATAACAGGGCTCCACATAGTAACCCGAAAAGACCATAAATAGTAGAGGAAATAATAGAATAAAAAAAAAATTGAATATAAATCAGACACGTGAATGTTTATATTAGGATGTGGCGATTTAAAGGACCCACCTCTGTTTACGCTTCCCCCTCGCAACAGTTGATGAGTAAAGCACTAAAGTCAGGCTTATCAAACTCAAGGTCAGGAACCTAAAACTGTTCATTTCAAAAATAATGAACATAGAATGCCATCTAGTGGTCTTCAGAAAAAACGTTCCAGCTTAAAATGCTTATATGCATCGCTCGTCCTCTGAATGCAATCTCTAGTGATGCATGGATGGGAGGATTGGCTGTAAGAGACGTTCTTAGGGAATGCGTATATGGGACCCCATCCGGAAAAGTTAAATACAAATAAAATGTAAACTAATGATATGAATATGAAATAAATAAGAAATCAGTTTTTTTTCAGCAGGGAAAAAACTTGTCAATCTTGCTTAGAATATACTATTTCCAAATCTTAATTTACTCACAGGCTATTTACAATACATTAAATCTTCTATTTCAGAATGGAATGTGTCATCTCTGAAATTTCACATAAACTATGTAATGTAGTTGAGATTAAAATTCAGCAGGATTAGAGGAAATTTTGTACTTTTTTGTACTCTATTCCTTCAGATTTGCAAAATAGCCATTTGCATGCGTTAGCAAAAGATGTTTTCTTCATTACATTGTTTAATTAATAATATAATTAAACTTTGTAATGTTTTTATGATAGTATAATTCAGTTGTGAAAGCAAATGTTACAGCAAGTGCACAAAGATAAATATATAATAAAAGAAGGGGTACTTTTGTGTTATACACCCAGCACTTGCACAATGTCGCCAATCGAACATGTGAAAAAATGCATTCTGAGGATTACGTAAAACAGCAATGAATTCATGAAACTAAAAGCACAAGAAACATCCATAATGAAGCAATAAATATTGCAAAATTCTATAAAACAGACATCCACATTGAAAGGCCCAAAATTTCATAAAACGGTAACAAATTAACCAAGGTTTAACTAATTTAAAAACACATTATACATCTACAATAAAACATTTAACTTTCTATTTTCTTGGTCTGTGTGCACAGGAACCTGCTTTAAGAGAAATGTAGAATTCTCGGTATTGCAGAGCAGACAGGCACTGCTCTCTATGTACATATTGATCTATTTAAAAAAAAATATCGGAGAACTGCAGATTTTTCGACATTGCAGAATAAGCACTGCACTCCATTTACATATCAACCTGCTTTAACTTTAAAAATGTGCTTTTCAGTGTGTTTATTCAGAAAAACCAATTTTTTAATGTTCTTTTTTCACACTAGATTTGCATACATCTCACAGATAATTGCATCAGTCAGTAGTTATATATGAAGACATATTGAGATAATAAAAACTGTAAGAAAGACAAACTTTAGCAGATCTATATTCCTTAGACTGGCAATAAATGAAGCCAAGAGCTGTCGTAAATGATATTAGGCTGTTCTCAAACCAATTTCCTACTCGCATTCAAACACTTTACTGGCAGTCTTTGGTTCGTTAAATTCCGAGTTGCTTACTTTGGCGACATAACACTCTTTGCAAGTTGATTCTTCTCAATGTTGGGCAGATAATGCAAAAGTAAGCTCCCCCAAAAAGCATACGAATGAGGCTCCTTAAATTATATAGGAAATGTAATATTTAAATTAGTCATATAATAGTACTACTTATGAATATGAATAAAATACAGATACCATAAAATAAATAGGAAATTAATTCAGAAACTTGTCAAAAAAAATCATGCTTGATCTGGGTGATTTTGGTGATTTTTTTTTCATGTCCTTTCCACTGGGAAAGAAACTTGCCAACCCTGATTATGGTGATCATCAAATTACTTAAGCACTTTTCTTTAATATTTAAATAATTCATCAAATTTCAGAGGATGAAAGTGACACTGTATAATGCATATTTTACACAATTCACTGTATAAAATAGACTTAATATTTATTTAACCAAGTGGTTAATTCGTATATATGTAATATTTTTTGATACCTTTAAGCACATATTTTAAACTACAGTCAAAAGTCGTTAATCAGGACTCGTCGGGACTTCGGTGATTCCGGATTATCGATTTTTCCGCATTATAGATCATCAGTTTAAATCTCGTAAGATGGCATGCAGAAATTCTAAAGTTAAAAATATGAAACCATAATTTATGAAATAAAGAACAATTATGATCTAAAGGGTATCAAAATTTACAAAAAAAAAAAAAAAAAAAAAAAAGCTTAATTTATTTGTTTTATTTTATTAAACATTTCTTTCATCTTTCAATGTAAGTTTGTTTAAGTTGCTTCATTTTATGGTGATAATACTTTCTCTTTAATTCTATAAACAGACATAATTTCTGTTCAGTTACAAGTTCCGCTGTTCAAGTCCCGTTAATTGCTGTGCCGAAATACCGACTAACTTGTCAATCAAAATTTTTTCGTTTTCCACTAACCTCTCTGTCACATCTTCATGTCTTTATCCATTTTTGCAGCAATTCCACTTTTGTTTATTGGACATCGAAACATACTTTCGTTTTGTAGATCCTTTGGAAGTTCCAGCTTCGGAAATTCTATTTGATATCGAAAGTTCGTTTATTACTGTTAAAATTGCTCTTACACAGTCTGCAAAAAATACTAAGCGGGATCCAATTCGAAGATTTAAGGAACAACGCAATCATTATCATTAACTGAAATAGATAATTAGATAATTTTAGCTTACACCGTCGGTTATACATTAAACGAGCAGGCGAAAACGTATTCTGCACTTGCGCACACGCATATGCGCAGTAGTCAAGGTCTTAAGCGCACGCGTAAAACGCCTGTGCGCATGTGCTAACGCGGCACATGCGCAGAAAGTTTTTAGCTTTGAAGTCCGGATTATAGACCATTCTGGATTATGGGTGTCCGAATTAACGACTTTTGACTGTATTACCGATATAATCTTAGCTGACATTCCGCCAAAGTACTTAGATTTGTCTAAGATATTTAATTATAGAAGTGTGTGGATGAAAGGTCATTTGTATGTCTTTTGCTGAAGAGAGAGGATTTATTATTTTTGAAGTTCCCTTATTCATCTTGTCCTCAGAATAATTTTATTGTGAAACTGAAAACATCGTGTTTATGGTTGATGTTGTCTCAAATAAAAGCTAAAAGTGTGTTTATTCGTAATCCAGCAGCTAGGCTGTACAAATAAAAATTTCATAATTTATATAAATTTCATTTGAACAATATATATATATTCATTTACTTTTAAAAATAAGACTGGTAAGAATCGCAGAAATTTGTTCTTTGCTTATATTTTGGTCTCCTATCGAAATGTTAGGTGACAGTTTGTTTTTACAGTTAAACTAAAATGAGTTCAAATAGTGAAAAGGAAGTATTTTCCTAAATTGCATTCTGAAATGAATGAAGCATTTCAGAACAGTGCTAATGAATTGCTAAATAATGTAGCTGTATATTAAGGCATGGAAGCTGAAAATGGAGAACTAAGGATACTTGTATTGGAGCATGCAGAGAGAGTAAGCAGCATTGAAAGAAGTATAGATGACAAAGACACTATGTTGAGAGTTAGAAACGGAGTTTTGGATAGCATTTTAACTTCCTTGTGTGAAGTAGAGAAAGTATTGTAATCATGAAAAACTCCAAGTGTCTGTACGTACACGCATATCTTGCATAACTTAAAAAGGATCAGCCATAGAACATTGAAATTTTATATGTGGGGCTGCTGTAACATCTAATTGTGCACTTCTTTTTTATATTGCAATCGGCCTTATGAAAATTATATATATATATCTACACCCACCTACATCTTATCCACCTTAAAAGACCTTACTCGGCTTTTATTTTCGCAGTTGTTTGTTCTAAGGCCCATATCAGAATATATTATTTTTTGTTATATCAGAGTGCAGTGAGGTGAATTTTTTGTGTGTACAGTTTATTATATATACTACTCTATTTGAAAAATTCTTTCAGAATAAATTTTAATATTTACTATAAATAAATTAGTTTTATTTGAAGAAGTATTTTCTCTTGCAATTTTTTCAGCTTTGTAATGTAGATATCAAGTCTAGTAATATATCTGCGTTATTTAATTCACATCATACCCAAATGATCTTTTTCTTTATACTGTTATGCATGGTTCTAAAACTCATTTTACATCCCTTCAATCTTTTTTGCTTGTGAGTACTTTACTACTAGTATTGTTTACCCATACTTACTACTTGTATTGTTTACCCAGTTGATGCAAGATTGTTCGTATTATTCAGATGACTGTCATACCTGAAACATCATACCTGGAACTACCTTAGAATCATTTGATACTCTTTCAGGTTGAGAAATGCTTATGAAATGTTATATGCTATCAGTTTACACAGGTGTGGACTTAAGAGCTATCTTGGAATAAGGCTTCTTTTGCTCAAAACCTAATTGCAAAATATTTTCCCCGAAACATAAAAGTACTTTTAAAAATACTAATTATCTAAGAATTCACTTTAAAGTTAAATAGGGAATGACATTTACGCAAGGTCTTGTCTTGAATCTTTTATCACCACACTCTGTGTTTAAAATAAAAATTTGGTATGTTTTTTATTAATACTGTTGCTGAAGTAATTTTGATTTCAGTTTTATATTTTCTGAATTTTTATTTTAATCTTGATACTCGGTTGTTAGTTTTCTATGTGTCATTTTGTTATTAATTGTATGTGTATATTTTATCATTTTAAAAGGTAGCATTATGTAATGCTGGTTTTAAAGTGTTATCTATTACTGTGATGTAGTGCATGCAAAAGCAGAATTTTGTTTAATATGTATGACATTTTATACATATTATATGTGAAATCTATTTCTTTATTTCAGCCTCTGCTAAAGAATATGTCAGAATTTATGCACAGATTCATAATATTAAGCATGAATATCAAACAGTAAGGATGGGGCAAAAGAGCAAAGGTTTCATATCCAATTTAAAGCTTGGAGAGAAAAAGTACCAATCATATCCACATGTTGCTAGAACTGTAGAGGAGGCAGAAGAAGTTGCAGCAAAATCAGCTGTGGAAGATATAAAATTGAACATAGGTAATGAACAAAGAAAAGTTACTGTTTTGAGTAATAGTAGCCTTTTAATTCAAATAAAATGCCTAAGGTAAATCAAGCTTTGTATCCAAGTAAATATGAAAATTGATAAAAAGTATGATATGGTTTGCCGTAATGATAAAAAGTTCCATTTTTATGTAATATATCTAACTTTCATAAGTTAGCAAAATTAAGTGATTTGTAATTTACTTTCATATAGTTTATTTATTCTATACATAAGAATATATATTGATTTAATTAATTAATTCAAAATTACCAAAAGTTTGTGATCAAATTAACATTTTTAATCTACAAAAATCATGGTTAACTTTAGAATTGTTGCATCACTGAAACTTATACTAACCAGTATAGAATATTTGGTACTTTCTAATTATCAGTAGTGAAAAGTTGCCACCTTTTTTATAACTAATATTTACCCAAGCTAAATGTGCAAAATGCAACAGACATTGTAAAAATTGTGGCTACGTAAGAATTCCATAAAAGAGCAATAAAACAATAAATTTTAAAAGCAAGAAACATCTAAAATTTCAATACTTGTGTAAGTTTTTGGGGGGGGTGAATTTGTTCTCTACATTTGAACAGTGATCTATTTTTGCTTAAAAAATTAGTAAACTGCACAAGTTTGGCATTGTGAACACTGTTGTCCTTCTTGTGTACATGGCAATTTGTTTTCACTAAAAATAAAGTTGGAGAATTGCATAAATTTGACATTGGGTACAAATTTTGGTTGATTTTATTGCTGCAGTGGAATGTGAGCTTCAGCTTTCTCTACTGTCGGACACTCAGTGCAAAAATAAACACTGATCAGAAAAATGACCATTGAATTTGAAGGTGGAAGTCCACTTTCGTCTGCTGTATGTGCACACATACCTGGGTTCCCTGTGATTACTTTTCAGGAGATGTGGATAATGCGAAAGAATTGGAACTTTTTAAAATAACAAAGATGTTTAAATAATGGTATATCTGAAAGAAATGAAACACCAAAGCAGCAGTTTCCAATCTGGAGTACATGAAGAAGGATTGTACTTGCACTTAACAGAGGCTTTGCTGGAAAATAAAATCAGTAATAAAAATAGATGGAATTAAAGAATAAGAAATGAAAAGAGAATCAAAATAATAAAATAAAAGACTAGAAATTTCATTCTGACCAGGAATTTGCCATGCTCAATTTTGCATCGTCTGTAGCAGACCATGCATTGTTTGCTAGAGAATGTGTGATATAATCTTGTTGGTTGTAATACAAAACATGGGAAAAAATGTTTTGGATCCCATTACACTTTCCCTTTCCTCAGGCCTCAAGTAATAGAAATCACCACTTGTGCGACTATTGCCTGTTGTGCGAGAATTCTTCGTAGAATGATGTTTGGCATGAATTATAATTCTTTTATTTTAACGAATATGACTAATATCCAAATAATTCTTTCTAATGAATAGGTGATTTACAGGATGTGTGTTTTAATATATATTTAATATTTTGTACATTAATGAAATGTTTGAATTATAGCGACTAAAATTTGCAGTTTTAAAACATTGTTAATAAATAGTGGGAATAAAGAAAAATGAAATCCTTTAGTTTAATTTTGAGGTCAGATGGTTTTGCTTGCATGATAATAATAAATATTTATAACAGAGAACATTTTAATTTTTCATCATACTGCTAACCATTTTATTATTGTGTATGAAAGTGTTGTAATTGCACTTAGCCAGAAGGATTTCTTTAATTACAAAGTGGGGATTCAAAAGCTGTTCAGGATGTAATTTTTATAAACACACATTCTGTGGATCTAAAGCCAGTGATTCGGCTGTGTTCATAACATCTATTATACTCCTTCATTTAGTTTCTGATTTTGATAATAGTAATTCTAAATTATTTGGATACAAGAAACTGTCATAATAGAGTTCTGTGAAAGGGAATAAAATGGAATAGGTGAAGAAATCAAACATCTGCATAAGTGTAATTATACTGTGTCAGATCAGTTTCAGTCTGTCAATTTTTTTTGTGTGATATGAAGGTATGTAAATGTTTCACTGATACTCTGTATAGTAATGCTATATTTCTAATTCTGTTGATGGAGTATTAAAGAGAGAAAAATAAGCTCTTTTAGTTTGGAATATCAGTATTACATGGATGCCAGCAATTTGTCAATTAAAAAAAGGCGGAGGGGAGTTTTTGGAAGAAAAATCTAGATTAATAGCAGAGAGATCAAGGCACAGCAATTCAGATTACAAGAGCATGGCAAAGTACTTCCCCCCCTCTCATCATAAAGTTAAGATGACTATGAATTAATGACAAAACAAAATGAATCTATCATTGCAAAGAAAGGGAGTCGCAAGTTTCAATGCAAATGTATGAATATTTTGTTTTAAGAGGAAACTTATGTACTAGTTAAGAGTGCATGAAAAATAAAGCTAACAAAATGTTTCTTGAAGAAAACTAACATCAAAATTAAAAAAAAAGATATATAAAAATATTCATGAACATCTCAAAGTTTTGAAAGAGTTATTTGGATATTATTTTCTGTCATCTTAAGAGAATGTGCCAGATGACTTTAAATTGGTTCTGAATGTGTTAAGTGTGAATGTAAAACCATCCAGCTTAAATTCAGCACAATACGAGGTCTTTATAAAGTTCACATTTTATAGTGTACTGAAGTCATGTTTTAAAACCAAAGTATAAAACAGTTCGGTTTCATTTATTAGATTTAAAAATCTTGTTTGAGAAAGCAAAATTATTATTGCTACTTTTCTCAGACTATGTATCTCTATGAAGCAGGATTCCTTGCCTATAAAAGTACCAACACAAAATACAGAAGATGCTTAAATGCAAAAGCAAGCATTTGCCTTCAATTGACATCAGTTGAACTAAAGTTAAACAACTGCAAAAAATTTCAACCATTGCTGTATCATTAAAATTTATATGTTATATTATTATGTCTTAAATTAGATCTACTGTTGCACTACAGTGCACTTTAGTAGTAAAATTATATTAAAATCATTTTTGATTAAAATTCTGAATAATGAATGAATATGTATTTGAATTTGATATAATGATTACTCTCAGAGTTGTGTTTATTATATGGATCTTCTTTATTGTTGCTGTCACAAGTAATGAGTTGAAATAAGAATTGTTTGGCAATATTTTGTCAAAAAACATTGGTATGGGTTTGTGGTTGAAAATAAACTGAGAAATTACAGTAAATTTAAAAGTTTTAAACATAATTTCACCAAATGGATATTGTGCTGTTTAGATAACTCTTTAGTTTATATTCATTTTCTATCGATCCCATCTTCCTTACCCTAACACTATTACTAAACACCATTAACTTGCAAGACGTAGAGCCGAGATTCTTTGTAATAGAAATTTATTTTAGAAAGGGCTCTGCAAGTCATAAGGTTTGGAAACTGGGAACATCAGAGCATGGGAGTAAGAATGTAAAATTTTATATCCGATTTTTCAATTTATTATTTAAACAAATAAATAAATACTTGAATTTTGCTGATTGTAATTAAACTCTTATCTCAGGAATTTTTCATATTTAAGAAGATCTTTTAGGTACAAATTTTTGAAACTTATATCTATTTTTATAGCCTTTTTTTCATGATAAATTTTAGTTTCTTTTGATTATATTGCTCAGATTTTGATGTACATAATGTATAGAATAGATATAAAACTGATTTTAAATGCTAGTTAATTGATTTGAATATTAATTGCATAAATGTGGAAAATAAAAATTAGGAAACTGAACTTAGTGTAATGATTGTTTCTCGCACTACTTTCATGACAAAATTTCATGCTTGTATTATTTGAGTGTCATATGTACTTGTGAAAATTCTGCTTTTAAGATTTTGTCGTTAAAAGTTTGGGTACTTGCATATTTTCCTTTCAACCATTTTGATGAAAGCAGTGTAATTTAGAGTTAGTAATGGATAATTATGATGTAATTGCATGTTCGTAAAACCTTTGATTTTGTTTTATGTAACTATAGTTAATACTGGATAGTAAACGTGAAAGTATTCAACCTGTTTTGATTTTTATCTGCAGTTGTTTCAGATTTTTGGAAGGGCTATAAAATTAATAAATTGCAAGTTGCAAGCTTTGAACATTTTAAAGTTTATCACTGACATGATTTTCTAGTTCCTTATATTGTAGTACATATTCACAACATTGAAAGATAGCACGAAAATATATGGCATCTCTTAGATTCATATATTAAGCAAATTTATAGTGGCTGAAACTAAAAGACAGACATTTAAATTTTTATTTTATATCACAATTTTCAAGAAAAGACATAATTTAAATAAAACATAAAATAGCCTTTATAAGTAGATATTTGAATACTTATTGATAAAAAAAAAAAAAAAAAGCCTTGTTTACTCATTACCATGTTTAAGGACCCATGCATCACCTGCTCTAAGCTTAGTCTCTAGCGGGTGGGACACCCGTCTGTGAGAAACGTTCATGCAAAATGTGTGTATGACATTCCTGTCCTTGAAAGCGTTAATAGAAAATTTGCATGTACTGATATTAAATCAGATGCTGGCATTATTAGTAACTCAATCCAAACTGTTTGGTGAATCTAAGGCTCTTCTGCTGCATTTTCGTACAGAAATGCAGCTGTACAATTTCATGGGATATTCATCACTGTAATATACAATTATTTTAGTATTATTACTTTTTATGGATGGCAAACCAGTAAAATCCTTAAAAATCCATAAAAATTATTATTGCCAATTATTTCTAATTTTTCTTCTAAAAATTCTTCTTTGTCAAACATCAGGCTTAGAATATTTTTTAGACTATGCGCTGATGTCCTATGAAATGAAAAATCTTTGTGCCAGTAAGTAGGAGTTCAGTGTACGTGATTCACTCTATGCATTCATCTGTCACTGATGCTTATTAGTAATAGTAACATAATATTGAAGTACTTAAATTTCCAAATAAAGAGAACTTCATTTACATGCTCCTCTTTAGTATCTGTAAAATGTATGATTTAATGAAATGTTGTATGCAGATGTATGTTACGTGAATTTTTAGTGTTTTTTTGTAGTTTATAATTTATATCCACCTGTAATTACATTTAAAAATTTATTTTTAGTGTTTTAATGGTCCAGTTTCTTGTCAATTTTAATAATGTTTTTTATAATTCTAATTTCAACAATTCCATATAATTTTTAAGATTGCTGGCTGACATATGTTTATGAAATTTTTCATTTTATTGTGTTTTAATGTTTGATTTCAAAGAAAAAAATTATGAAAGTAATTTTATGAATTTTTAATAAAAGATTTTGAATATACGGTTGTTTGTTTTATTCCGCTTCATCTTGCAACACTTGATTTCATTGCAAAATAAATTCCATTTTCTTGGTCTTAAGTTTTGCTAACATTTTACTTTAAATTTCATTAAATACATACTCATTTGATTTGATAAAGTATGATAAATGTATCTTTAAGAAAAAGGGGAAAAATCAGCCAATAATTGTAACGTATTTTTTAAAGAAAATTAAAATTATTTTCACTTCTTTTTAGAACAATTGGCTGCGTTTCCTGTAACACCAGTAGGGAGTGCAGCAGAGATTCAGATACTCCTGAATAGAATAGAAGAGGTACTTTTTCCTAATTTTAAATTTGAAACTAAAATGCTTATGTTTTTTCCTGCTGTAACTTATTGCACATAATTGCTAACCAAATGGAAAATATATAAACATCATCAGATTTTTAATTTGTTAAATGCATAAAGATATAAAAAGCGTAGATCTGCATTTAAATGACAGTGGGAAAATAACAATTTTTGAAGATGCTTTTGCATTTTCTGTAATTGTGCATGCAGAGTTGTTATTGTTCATCTGTACATTCCAATTTTAATATCAGTCTCTTCCCTTATAAAAAATCTTGTTAAAAATTGCAAGAAGAAGAAGCTTGACTGATGGCCATTAATATGTAGTAACTAATATAACACTATAGTTTGTGAATAAATTTGCTAGCATAGCTTAAATGTTATTACTTGGCTCTTGTAATTTTTCATTTATGTTTCTCTCAAACTTGAGTATTAGATTAAAATACAAAACATACATGCATCATGTTATTTCTTGGCACTATGTGTACTTTAAAAGAAGAGATACACATAATATGAGTATATTTTTATCACTGAATTTCCAGAATTGATTATATCTTAATTTCATTTATGTACTTTTCAGAAGTAAATTTTTGTTATAAAAAAAACAGGATGCTTAAAATATTGAATGTGCAGTAAAGGAAACATCATTTATATATATTACATTTCATCTTCCAACAAGAGTACCATTGGCTGAATTGCTAGAGCTTAGAAATTCTGCCCACTTCCCTGGTTCAAGTTTAGCAGGACTTCCTGCAGATTTTATCTCTTCCCTGTATAAATATAATAATATAGTTTTTCCTGGGAAATCTGTAATAAAAGCATCTACCAAGCCTTTAAATGTGTTATGTAATTGAGCAAGCATTTCTAGCTGGGGAAAAGGTTTTCGCTTTTTGACTGTGTTAAAAAGGAGAGAGAATTTGCCTTAATGGAGGACTTTATACTGATTTGTCATTAATGGCATGTTTATAATTATTCAGCTTGTTAGCATGAGAAGAATACTTGGTTTTTTTGGTATTTTTTATGGTTTGTGAAAGGATGGAACACCTCTCCCTTATTAGTGGTAATAAATGTTCCAAAGTAAATACTAGTTTTTTTATATTTATGTGTTAATGTGCTGAAATTGCTTCATATTAGATGTAATTTTGTTGTTTTAGTATGTATTATTTACCAAGGATCTTTTTTTTTAATTAAGTAATTCAGTCTAATCTAATAACTGAGCATATATGATAAGTATTTTGATTTTATATATTTCACTATGGATTGTCAATTGTAATAGTTTACTGTAATAACAAGTATAGTAAGGATAGGCAACTGCTTTACTGTTCAGAAGAGTTAAACTTTAATTCCCCTTCAAGTTCAAGTTCGTATGTCATTCCTTTTTCTTTTCATTAATGTGCATTTTGTATGTTTAATCAAGTACAGTCTTTAAATTTGTGATCTTATTGAATTGTTAATTTCATCTGTTGCATTTTCCTGAAAACTGACACTCATTTTAGTCTAAATTTAAAAAAAAAAAAAATTATTATTTCACTATATTATAGAAGACATTTCAATAAACTATAGGATTTTTTGAAAGAAAAAGGTCAAAAATTGAGATCTTGATATGTATGCACTTCATTGTTGATCCTATATCTACTTCATTATTGAACTCTTTAACTTATTTTGCAAGAAATTATTCAGACATGCAAGTTTAGAAAATTTATGAATAGAAGTATTAAATCCAACCTAGAGTCTTTCCTCAAATAATAACAGAACTGCATTAAAAGCCAAACAATCCACCATCTACATCACAACAAATGTACAGTATCACATATATGTATGTAAAATATGAAACAAAATTATTAAAACTTAATTGGAATCAATTGGCAATAGATTTTTAGCTTCATAAATTTTAATTAGGCACATCACCACTTCAAAGATGTGCTTTTCATTTGTTAATTCATTTAATACTGCATATGTTCTAGGTATGGGCTCAATCTGTTTCAATAATTAAGTTTTCTATAATCAATACAGAGGGTTTGTATGGTCCTTAAGAGTTCTTAAAAGTCCTTTTGGAATTGTTTTTTTGTCCTTAATTTCAACCAAATTTGGCAGGAGGTCCTAAATTTTAATCATCTGAAATTTGTCTGTTTTTACGACTGCCATTTTGAGTGTGAATTAGCATTTTGGACAAGTAATTTTGCTGATTTATTGACAAAAATAGTTATCTTTTGAATGGGTGAATATGTTCATGGGTTATAATTTGTTCTTATTTCTAATATAAATGGTGGGATACTCAAGTTTCTGAGCAAGAAGTGAAACATAAGCATTTCGAAATTATTTCATTTTTTGTAATGAAGAGCTCTTAAACAGCTTTTCACATTTGGGAATGTGAATTCTTTATTAAACAGTTCCAAATTTGGCAACTTATTAACATTTTGGCGATTTTAAGATTAGTTTTTATAAAAAAAACTTTGAATTCGGAAACTTGGGGATTTTTTGATATTTTTTAAAAATATTATAACATTGATCAATTTAATTAAAATAATGCTAATATATTGAAACTGTATTCAAGAAATAACACTAAAATTAAACATTTTTATTTTTCGCTATCATATAAAGTGACATTATTTTAGATTTTGGCGACTTATTATACAATATTTTGAATCTGAAAAATAAACAAGGTTATAACTGCTTTCCGCTTTAGCACGATTTATGAAACAATTGGCTAAAACAAAATAGCTATGTAATTAATTAAAATTGCCTTCATTGTAATTTTTTCATGGTGAGAGTTGTTCCCATGTAATTGTCTCAATATGAGTCAGTTTTCAATAAAATTAATTTAATACTTTTTCCTCTGATTTTTTAAAAAAAATATTTCAGCCTTTTTCTGTTGCAGAATTGGTAGGAGTAATTTTTCTTTAGGACTTTAGACCCTGCGACTTAAAAGTGTAGAAGGATTGTTTTTAAGGCAAGATTTACAGACCCACAAATCTAGAAGATTCCGGACAAATGTCTTCATGGTATTAACACATAATGTATGTATTTTTATCACAACAGAAAGTTTGTGATAAACTTTTACTTTTTGGAGAATTTTCTGAAAAATAACGAAAACATAATATTTAAATGTTTTACTTCTGATACTAGAAGTCTTATTCTTAATATGTTTATCTTCTCATCGTTTTCTCTACTTTTCACTAGACACAAGCATGTTTCAAAAATGCTTCTAATCTTATCACATGGAGGCATTTATAGAAAGTAATTTTTCTATTAATAAAGAATTGAAAGCTGACAATTTAAAAGATTAATCTTATATGTCTCAATGCATTGTCAGTGCCGTAGCTAGGGGGGGACATCTGTCCTTGAGCGCAGCATCCATGGGATACCATATTGATGTTACAAAATGTTAGAATTAAATTATTTTTATTCTTTGCATACAGGAGGGGGTACAAAATGTTCAGTTACCCTGGGTGCTGAAACCCCTATAGCATTTGCATCATACACAGGGCTGATGCAATGCATTTTCCCACCTGATGCAATCTCTGTGGATCGTAAATGCTAAAATTTTGCCATTTCTGGATTTTGTTGCTTGGTGTGTCACTAAATTCTAAAAATTCTGCTACATCGGCTCTGGAACCGGCCCTTACCGTATATCATTTCATATTTATTCTGAATGTTCACATTACTAAAGGAATAAAATTAGCACCTTTTCCTATAAAATCTACATGCATTTATTTTTTTAGAATAACAGAAATCTTTAATTAAATCCAAAAATTCTAAAATGAAAAGTAAATGTATTGAAAAAAAGAAACCAAATACATAAAGAGAAAGAAGATTATTCTTCAAAGATAAGTAGAGTTATTATTATGTAAATTAAGCAGTTGTTTATAATTTCAGCCTTTGCTATAATTTTCCCTTTTAGTTTCCTCACCAGAATGAAAATCACCTAGATAGTTTTTAAACTAAGGTTTTGGAGTTGTAAGACAGAATTTGTTTCTGGCCACCACTTGCACCCTGCATTAAGTTCCTACCAGCTCCGATAATTTGTAATTCATACCTGCCAACTTTTGCGAATTTTTACGAAAATGCGTTTGTCTTTACGATTTTACGATCGTAACCCATTTTTTACAATTTTTTTTCTTTTTCAAGTGTTTTTAGGGATTTTTGTCAAAATTTTAGAATTTTTCGCCAATTCAGTGATTTTCGCCAATTGCATCGTGTTTTACCGACTACTTCGAATCCAGTAACCTGCGGTTTCTCCCAACTCGCCGCTTAACCAGCCAATCCAATGCGCTGAACTTGTTTCTCCCACTCTTTTCTTTGTGGGCACCAGATTATTTTTTTTCGCGTTTCGCTTCACCAGCAGGCATTAGGGAATTCGGACTCAGCGAGCGTTGATTGTCGCATTCTGTTTTTGTTTGCACGTGCTACAAATTTTCTTAATACGTCGTTGTTACGAAATGAGTTCAAAAAAACCGTATTCTCAATATTTTCGGCCTGCATACGAAGCCGAATTTCCAACAATTAAAGAATCCTTCAAAGGAAATAACTATGCATTTTGCAACGTGTGCGTGTGTGACTTCATAATAAGTCACGGTGGAAGAAGCGACATTGTGAAGCATGTTAAGTCTAAAAAGCATGAAGTTAATGCTTTCGCTTCGACAACGTCAAAGAAAGTGGATGATTTTTTTTTTTTTTTTTTTAAATTCGGATGCCGATGTCATTTTGGCAGAGTGTTTGTTTACTGCATTCCTCATCGAACACAACGTGCCGCTAAGCGCTGCCGATCACGCCGGTCAACTTTTCAGACGGATGTTTCCCGACTCCAAGATTGCTCAGAAATATGCTTGTGCTCGCACGAAAACATGTTCTTTTGTGAACGAAACTGCTTGCAATGCACAAAGTAAAACGATAGCTGCACTCCAGAATTCAGCATTTTCGGTGTCAATCGATGGCAGCAACGACAGCGATTGGAAGCTGTACTCCATCGTTGTCACATATTTCTGTGAT